GACGTGAGCTTTGTTGGCCTCCATTTCGTCAAGCCGGCGTTGGAGGGCCGCAATAATTTCGTCCCGGGGATCCTTCGGGAGGGTCTCCGCCCCCTGCGAACGAACCCGGGCCGAGTGGGCCTGGTTGATCTGGTGGCGAGCATCATTGGCATGAAGGGGTGCCTTACCTTTGTCCCGAGGGGGACGCTCCTCGTCTGCCCTCGAGACAGACCCTCCGCTTTCCTGGGGCCTTTGGAGTGCTTTCCCTTCGAGGCGGTCTTGGACCCCTCGGCGTTCTGGCCCTCCTCCGAGCCAGTTGAGGGCGGAAGTGCGGGGCCTTTCTCTGTTGTCATTGTGGCGGTCCCGGGACTGAACTTCCTGGGAGGACGTATCTTGGACCACTACCCCTTCGTCGTTCCTAACCCGAGGGGTGGGGTTTCCGAAGGGGTGTGGCAGAGGGGGAAGTATGATGTTCTCCCCAACCTGGGGTTGAGCCGGAGCCAGGGTGCCGAAGGCACCCGGGTTCTGAGTGAGCGTTTGGATGAAGGCGGAGAGCGCCGATTGCACGTCGATGGTGAGAACCGGAGGGCTGACTTGGTCATCGCTCCGGTTTTTCTTCTTGGCCTCGATGCCGAGGCGGGCATCGGGGGCATTCTGTTGGATCTGAAGGCGTAGGTCGACAGCCGCCTGTTCCAACCCAGCGATGACACCGCCCTCAGGAGCCCTGTGAGAGGCTTCGGAGGCGTTGACGTCGCCGAGGGCCAGGTTCTTGTCTTCCACGTTTTTGGAGTTGGCACGAGTTGTTCTCACCATTTTAGCTAGGTGTTTTGTGTTTGGTCGAGGGGGAGGGTTTCTTACTTGATTGTTCGACCTCTCAACGAGAGCACCATATGATGGATAATTGATACCCATATTGTATAAATAGGAGAAATTGAACAAGAATGGAGAAGAAATAATGAAAGTGTATAGAATGAATGAATATTTGTTATGGTTTACAAGCCTCCTATAAGGAGTATATATAGGGAAAATCCGGGTCTGGGCCTGTAATATGGGCCTGACAGACCCGGTTACATAAATGGACTGATAGTATAAAAAGCTAATCTAGAACATCTGAATAATAATAATAATGTACAATAATATGAATGATATCCGCTAAACATGTGTGGGCCGCTGTCCAGGCCCAGTAGTCGGCAGACCGGGGGGTCGGAGTCCATATATTCCATCAGGAGTCCCCCACTCCCTGAGTCGAGAGTACTCGAGGCGAAATGGAGTAGTCCAAACTGTATCTGCAATGTTCTTCTGTCTTCGATTCCTTCCTCTCCGGGCGGGGACCACCACCCTTGTCCATGATGGGGAGGTGCCTCGTTAAAAACCTTTACTAGGAAAAAATCCAGTGGGAAAAAATCCTAATAAAGGGAAAAAGAGTACACCTAACGCCCCCAACATGAAACAAGGAAGGTAGGCCCCCTCCAGCATAATCACTTTTGTGTAGCTCAACCTGTCTTCATCTGACTTAGCTCTCGTTCCTGCTCATGCGTGGTATCTACTGCTCATCCAGAAAATCTGACCTCTCAATCCCCCAGTCCCCCACTCCTTGAGGCGAGTGGAGACGAGGTTAAAAATGAGTAAAGTCATTTTCGTACCTACACATTTAAAATGCATATAAAATTTTTCCTTGGGGTTTATGTTTCTGATCGGGAGTTCGTCACTTGAAAAAAGTGGAAATGTGAATTGTCGATGTAATGATAAAATACTTAGTAGAGTGGATGCGTGAGCCATTCGTACGCAACGGTCGCCATTCTTGGAATGACTAAGACCGGTCTTCATGTCCGACTTGGTCGGGGCTTTGTGCCTGACTTGGTCAGGACTTTGTGCCTGAGAGTCAGGGCTTTAAATCCTAGTGATGGGTCTCAAGGCACAGTCTACTAGGCATTTGATCATAATTGCATTATAGTGTGACATTCGCCCGACAAAAAGAAATGATTTAAATAAATATAAAGTCTTCTGGAAATTAAAGAATACTTGTCTTTTTGAAGTGGGCTGAGATATATTGGGCTGATAAGTAGACTGTCTGGACAGATCTAATAATTGGACCTTTAATTCCTTGAGCAGCTCGGCTGAAATAAAATAATGGGAGCTTGTTGTCCACCCAAATAATGCCAATTGCTCCATCTTTGACAACTAACTCCCCTTCACAATTTTGGCCCTTCGTACGTGTGGTCTGCTCTCATCCAAGTGATGAGCATCTTGTGAAGAGGCAGATGAAACATCCCACCAAGGCCAAGCAGTACAGGTCGGCCGCTCACCGGAGGGTCCACGGCGGCTGAAACAGCGGCGACGGCTCCGGCGACCCCAACCTAGATCTGGAAAACCCGGATTTTCTTTCTTCTTTTTTCTGAGAAACAACTGGCTTGTATCAAAAAAGGGCAACAGTGGTGCGACTGCGAAAGAGGAGCGGGAGTTCAGAGCTTTGGTCCGTCGGAGTTTGGTTGAGGAATAGCACCTACAGGTTGTGAATCATCGAGGCTTGTCCTCTCCGGATCTGGACCTTCCATGAGCTTACAGTGGTGGCGCACAGCGGTAGATGCCCCCCGGCGTTGGTGGTATGTTCCGTGGTAGTGGTGGTTTGCCGGTGGCGGCGATGCTAGACCAGAAAGTGTTGCGGTGACTCCCCTGAGACACGACGGCGCGGTGACTGTTGCTCCGGCCAGGTCTGGGACAGGTCGGAAAAGTGAAAGCAGGGTCGTCGCTGGTCTGGAAGTACCATCGCTCCTCGTCACTGCTCTCGCCGGAGAGTGGAAGAGGAACCGCTGCTGCTCAGGTTGCTTTTGGCGAGACCAGATTTCTGGAACGAGCCCTCCCTTTGACCACCGAAACGAGCCACATCTTAGCGGTGCGAACTGGATGCTCACGTCTTAGCGACGGATGACGGAGGCCATAACTCCGCCTTTGCTGGCGGCAATGTCTACAGATGCAGCCACAGGTGAGCTCTAGGGCGGTGACGAGGTCTGAGATCTGGAGCCTTACCCACGGCAGTGGGTGGTTCTTGCTGCTCCAGTTCCCCCAGAATGCAGATACATTTTCCACCTTTTTCTATTTTGATTTTCCAGAACAGCTTTTTTTGGAATTTTTGTGATTTGGATGATTTTTGTTGTATTTTTTGGGAGGTTTTCTCACTTGATGTGTTCAAACCTCTCAACGAGAGCACCAAATGATGGATAGTGTACCCGGGGGGTAGCCTATCCGAGGGGTTATTGCTGAGAATAACTTAGAGAGAAGTCAGAGCACAAGTAAGTAAGAGAGAGAGTGTATTCAGTATGAATGTCGTGGTTACAAATGGGGAAATGGGGTGCTATTTATAGTAGCAATAAATGCCGGACAGGGACACGTGTCAAGCGCCCATTGGCCGAGAGGTCACCTCAACTGGTTGGCGTTGGCAGCCGCATGTGGCCGCATTTAATGCGGCTGTAGGATGGGACGTTTGTACAGGGTACGGTGATCTGTACGCATGTGAGGCGGATATCATGTCGGGAGAGGTGCCCTCGGCTGCAGAGGACTAGCCGAGGGCTCTGAGTGCCGAGGACCCCTGAGTGCCGAGGGCTCTAGGTGCCGAGGGCTACTGTTCTCTGCCGTTTTTCCCCCAGTTTCTTAGTTTGCTCGAGAAACCCGTTCTGTGAGAGTTTCAGCCTTCGGCCAGGGGGCCGAAGGCACCCCTGGCGCGTAGTGCGGGCTGCTTGGTACCCTAGGCGCTGTGATTTGAGCCTGTTGGGCCTTCTGGGCCTGTTGGGCCTTTACTGAAGTAGTAGGAGTCTGTGGGCCGGAGGTTCCCGGGCCATATACTCCATCAATAGCCTTGACCTCAAGGGCTTAGATCTCATCTTAACCTCATTATCATCCTGTCTAGCACAGTAACCCCTATTAATCCTTGACACGTTTTCTAAACCTTGGCCTGTTGTCCAGCCTACCCATATGCTTTATAGTACATTAAGAAACATCTTTATCATGTAATGAATACACATGACACATACCTATATACCCAACATTTGTACTGAGTTCACTTATATGAAATAGTAGTTACTCTTATATGCCTTTAACTACTCACTTACCTGAGAGATGTCAAGCGGTGCGTGGCAATGGATGGAGTTACGGAAGGATCTGGGCTCTGATACCAAACTGTAATGACCGTCCCCAAATGGCCATTACCATATTCAACATAAAAAGAGACTCGATAAATCAAGCGGAAATAAAGATACAAAGCCTCGATATGAGACTTTATTTCTTTTAGAACAAATCAAAACTTACAAACATAACGAAACACATCCAAAATAAAACAACTGTAAAACCATTACACCTGATCAGGATTTTAAAAACGTTTAACAACCCTTTGAAGTACCAACGTACTAAAACCACAACATAATTGATAGCCCGATCTTCTCCGTTAACCCATCCAAAATCTTGTCACCGGCTCCATACATTCTCTCAGGCTTGTGTACCTTGTTTATTACCTATACATGAGAATACGGGAAAATAGAAGTCTCGTAAGCAATAATGCTTAGTAAGTCACCATTTTATCCACTAAAAACATTTAGGGAATCTTAGCTAGCCATGATTAGATACATGAGCTTGAATACTCCATACACATAGCATATTCACACACATATTCATATCATGTAAAACACAACATCATGTAACGAAATCTAAAAGATTTCCTCATTCATCATTCTTTCTTCTTATCTTGCTACTTAACTTGATGGGCCCGTAGCTCGTGTCCTGGCCCCTCGCTAATGACCTTGGGTAGCTAGCCCGCAGCCATCAGAAGTAATCCCGGGACTCCCCGCGGAAGGAGATCCCGCTCCGTTCCGCTCAGGTAATTACTTGGGGAACGGCTACCTTAGAACATTTCTTATCATTCATTAGATATCATTATCATCACAACTTTCATTCATTGTTGGATTCCATATAAATCCAACCTAACCATAAACATAGAACTTGGATACCTTACACTGATAACTCAACAAGTTCTCAATCAACATCACCTACGAGCATATATACATAACAGGGCATTCACATAATCTTATGCCATACAAATTCAAGTGTTCAAGCAAATCTATCCCATTCATAGATAGCTAGACTTCCATGTTTCATTTCAATTTTTTTTGGATGAAATGTAAGTATATATAAAACACCCAAAAATAACATTTTACAATGTATCACACAAACTCTAAGAAGAAGAAGCTATCTAAGTTAGATAAATCTAACCTAAACATAATGCATCATCAAAATAATGGGACAACCCCCATATCCACCTAATCGGATAAACCAAGTTCAAAAACAATCATCAAGTAAAGAAATTAGCCTAACCCTATTTGATCAGGACCAGCTTCCCTCCGCTTCTTTGTCTCCCTATATTGGTTGATTTTTTCCCAAAATTCATCAAGAATTTTCTGTTCCTCCTCATCCGAGAAAGAATCCTCTTCATTCGATTCCTCTTCCTTTGAATTCTCCTCCCCCTCTGGTTCCGGCAAGGCAGCCGGTTCATGCGGTGTAGTTGTCTCGGGCGGGGCCGTTTTTGTCCTAACCTCACCCCTCACCCCCTCTTCAATACCCCTTTCTTCGGCCTCCTTCACAATTTTTTCTTTTCCCTTATCCTTTGGTGCGACTTGAATAGCATCATTACCATTTTTCTTTTCCTTTTCAATAATAGTCTCATCCTGTTCTTTTGCTGCCAATTTCTTGCAAATAAATGGGTTGTGCCCATACATTTTACGGTGGAAACAAAAGTTGGGGAAAGTTTCATAAACCACCATTTGGTTGACTACCTTACGGGAGGGTAATCGTATGGGAAATGATAACGGGGGTGGTTTAGAAACATCAACCTCAATCAGAACTTTAGCAAAGTGGTAATTGCTTCTATTTTGGGTAATTTTGTCCGTAGAAAGTGGGACCTCTACCATAGATGCAACCTCACTCATGGCCTCCTCATTCCAAAGTTTCAAATGTAGATTAGGAAATTTTACCCAAATGGGAACTTTGAGAAATTCATCATCATCAAAGGAAAAGTCTTCCGAAAGTGTTTTTAACATGAGTTGCATACCAAAGATGGTATAAGGACCTCCATTCAACACTTTTGACCTATCTTCATCATTTTTAAATTTGAAAATAATCCATCCTTTTCTATGTGTGTCAACAATTCAGCTAACTCCCCAAGTATTCTTCAAGTTATGGACTGCTTTAAGGCTCGGAAATTTCCCGGTAAGGAACCCCACAAGACAAAATTCCCACATGTCAACCATAGAGGGTAAAACTCTATCCGTAAAATCTAAAGAAGTGCCTTTCGGCGGGATATACCTCAATTTCAATCCATTGGAAGGGTCACGATTGTCTTTGAAAAGTGAAGACCACAGTTTTTGCACTTCACTGCCATTAACTTGTCCAACACCTGCAGCTTTCAACGGATTAGAAGTGGCCTGCATATGTGCATCAGCACTCCCCATGTTCTGTCCAACATCTTCTGCACTTTGGGAAATCAGTTCATTATTTTCAGTAGCCATAACAGTCCCAGGAGGACCTGGGATTTTTGCAGCAGATTTAGTCCCAGCAATTCCTAAGCTTTGTGTTAATTTATCTGGAGCAGCCTTGAAAGTATTTTCCACGACCTGGGGAGCACCGGTCTTTTTTGCAGAATTATTTCCATCTTTGTGACCATTAGCAGCAGCTTGAATAGATTCAGTATCCGCACCTTGGACCTTGGTCGCAGCAGAGTTCACATCACAGATGGCTTCAGAATTCACAGCAGGTTTCTTCATGAATGATTTGTTAGCAGAAACGTTTATCAAAGCAGGGAACTCTTCATCACAATCTTGCAGAATGTCAAAGCTACCACCTCTTGACCTGGTAAGCCTAGAGGAAGATTCATAAGTCCCTGTATTTGTTGCCTTCTTCGTTTCCATAGCAGCAGTTCCAATCGCCCCAGAAGGACCAGGCGAGGCCCCTACAGCAGTTAGTTCTGCCTCATTATTTGCAGTACCAGGTTGCTTGACTCCATTTCTAGGGAGAATCTCAACATCAATGTCAGAAAGGGGGGACAAATCTGGACCTAGTATTGCGCACAGTTAGAGGTTCCACACACTTCTTCCTCACCATGGAATGGCGATGAACAATGTTCGAAACCTTCCCTGCTCAAAATCAATCGAAATTTTACCCTAAAATCAATCAACGCGTCTAAGCGAGCACCAGAGAGGTCTTCGCTTCCAGAAATCAAAGCGTTGAAACAGCAATCGTTTCACAAAAACCAATTCGTAGGTGAACTGTACCCCACACGAATACGTTTCGATTACGGTTCATTCAGCATACCAGTTCCGAATCCGAGGTCGGAAACAGGATCAACACTGAAATCTAACCTAAGTACACCAAGAAATCAGCTCAAACGGTATCAACCCGGGGATCAACGAACACCATAGTTACGCGTGAGGCTGGACCACGAGTTCCAGAGAAAGACGCTCTCAACACGCAGATTCAGGCAGATCTTTCCGAGTTTCCATGTTTCATTTCAAACTATCATGTATAGGTGGTGATGACTTACCTGATTCGCGTGGAGTATTTACCCGGTGTGTGCTTGTAGAACTTTCACGGACAACGGTTCTTCGATGAGCAACTATATATATCATTTACAATTGATCAACATAATTTCACGTTTTTAACCAAAACCTTAAGACTTAGGAATGAAGGGAGATTCTACATAATCAGCCCCCTAGAAGTGAGAAAACTCTCAACTTCCTTCAATCAACCTACAGAGCTCCAGGTAGCTAAAACCCAATTGTATCTTAAACCCAACGATCAACAATAATTAAACAAAAACCATACTATCAAGAGTTCTATGTATCCATTTAGAATCAACCTATACATAGTAAGAATTTTCCCCAAATTCTTTCATCAACTTAGTAAAAATTCGGAATAATTAGTTATTCAAGAACAAATTGAAGATTGTTAAATCCAAGCTAAATAAAAACTCCAAAACAATCTTACTATCAAGAAAATCCATTTGTTTTCCTAGAATCAACCCAAAATTCACTCAACCCTAGTTAAATCCCAAAACAAGAACTATGGATCAAATATAGAAGAATTCTTCATGTAAAGTGTAAAAATCTTACCAAGTGATGATATTTAATGAAGAATATGTTTAATTTGAGCTTGAATCAGTCTATGTAGGGTTTGGGAATGAGTTTGTAGAGAGGGGGTCGAGCTCAGGTCGAAAATGGGGTTGAAAGGGGATTTTTCGGCTAAAAATAGGCTTTGCACCGCCTCAGGAAACCGACCGGACCGGCGCCGGTTTGCCGCTGACCTGCGCCGGTTGTGCTTAGTTTTGCACGCTGCCAACTTTCTGTTTTGGACCGGCGCCGGTCCGGGTCCAACCGGCGCCGGTTTGAGGCCAATCGGGTGCCGAAAACGTCATTTTTCTCCCTAAACCGACCCCGATTGTTACCGTTCGCATCCTAGACCCCCAATGACCTTTTTAAACTATATTTTAATCACTCAAATACTATTTAACATGACAAATAACTTGATATACCATTACATTCAAAAATACGAATGATTATTACAATGTAGTTATGTTGCTCATCGGATACCGTCGCCTGTCACGTTCAAACATAATACAAGCATGTAAGTTCAAATATCATTATCACAAAGTTCATAATCATGTTATCACTATACTTCACACATATAGCAATCAAACATAGGTTAAAGCATGATCATAATAAAATTGATTAGCACGTAAGAAGTAAATAAAAAGTACGGGCGTTACAAATCGTGTTCAATCAGCATTGCAGCACATATATCTTTGTCTTTGTTGTTATTCAGCTTCCTTTGTCTTTGAACTTGACTTCTTTAGAAGGCTTTATGAAGAAATCCTTGCAATATCCCCTTTGATGTCTTCTTTTCAATTTGATCTTTGATGCCGGGAATTGAGGAATCTTTTGCTTGTAATCTTTGCCTTCCAAAAGTAGCTCTTGATCAGCTTGACTGCAAATCTGAAGGTACCTCTAGAATGAATGTTCTTGAAGAATTGCAGACTCACATGGGATTCGATTACCTGACCTCTGTTTCCTCCACAATGTAGTATTTTTGACTATTTGAGGTGAATTCTTTTGAGGAGAACCAGTCGGTTGCATAGCGGAAAATGATGATCTTTCGAGAAAGTAAAGCCATTGATTTTTGTGGTGGAGGAAGGAAGTGTCCGAGAATGATTTTTGAAAGTAAACAACATGCAGACCACTCTCCCCCTCATGACGATCCGATGAATCAGGGCGTCATGTCTTTATTCTTTTATTCTGTGAAACAAAACAGAAAAACAAACAAAAAGATAAACACTGGAGACATCATGGTGTTCCATTATCACAACATCAATATAAACACTGATGTGTGGCCTGTAAAAATGATAGAAGCATTAAAGCTCTAGCAGGACTTCCAACCAGTCATTGTGAAGCATCTAAAGTAGATGTTACTATGGTTGTTATGGCATGATCATAAAGATCAGCAAAGATAACGTCGTGTAGACGCCCGTTATCATCACTATAGAGATAAACTCAGAAGCGATGGCCTGAACATGTTGGTGATTTTTGTGTTGCAACAGCAGGACTTCCTTCCAATCATTGGCCTTCATCTATAGTAGATGAGCCCTATGGAAGTTCTCACGGGTCATGAAGATCTGCAACTGACTCTAAAAAGTGTCTGTGTCCTAAAAAATTCAAAACATTAGGGAGTGAGATTACTAGACACGACGTGATCGATGAATGTTCAGTGGCGTGGGGTTGTGGGCCACTGTAGTCAGTAGGGCTGGATTCGGTTCGGGTCCCGAACCGATTCGGTATATACCCGAACCGAACCGATAATTCGGTTTACAAAATTATCAGAACCGAAACCGAACCGTACTACAAACGGGTATCGATTTTTGGTACCCGATTTTTTCGGTTCGGTTTACCGGAAACCGAAAGAAACTGACAAAAGTGTAATAAATAAGTTTGAACTAACATTCAATTGGCTAAAGCCCATTGGAACTTACCAATATTTGAGCCCGATTAGCCCAATGGAAGCCCAGAACGTAACTTAGCTTCCTAGAACATATCTTGGCATTCTACACTAAGGGGACCTTATTTATATTGAAGTTTTGGAGTAGGAAGCTTCTCATTTTCCGGTGTGGGAAAAATAACCCAACTGCGGGAATCGAACACGCGACGTAAGGGAGAGGACAAGCGCTGGATAACCAACTCGGCTACTCTTCAAGCACATTCAAATCATACTCGGTTTAGTATTATACCTTCATTAAACGTCATTAATTACTATTGTTATTATAAATAACAATTATTATTATTAATATAAAAATGTCGGTTCAGTTCGGTCTGAACCGATATTTTGTGCACATAAACCGAACCTGAACCAATTTTTTTTGGGTCCTGATTATTGAGACCCAATTTCGTTCGGTTCGGTCCGGTTCGGTTTTTACTAAAGCGGTTCGGTTATTTTCAGTTCGGTTTTCGGTTTTTCGATTCAAAATGCCAGCCCTAGTAGTCAGTATCAGTCGCCTCAAAAGGAGACGGTGATAAGAGATGAGGTTCCCCGTGATATATGATTAAACACATGTCTGTTGGGAGACAGGTAAGTGGTCTTAGGTAGGGTTGTGCATGCACCGTTTGGACAAAATGCAGCGACTTCTACTCGGGATCTGAATAAATGCAGTCCTGAACCTATGGGGATTGTCCAGAGTATTTGAGTGACTGGGAGTAATTCTCTCGATTGATAGCACAATAGAGGTAGCAGATTTGACAGTGATTATTGTTCTCTTGCTCACTTGAGCTTTCTGCTTCCTCACTCTCATACTGTTCACTCAGTTACTCACTCACTCTCGGCTTTGTCCCTTAGGTAGCTTAGTTGGGTTTACTAAGCCATTAGGACTTATCTCTCATTTCTCTTTGATCTTTTCTCTCCGTGTTCCCCCTCAACTGGAGCATTCAGTAGGATGCCTTTCACGATGATTGGCACTTGGAAGGAGAACTTTGAAAACTCCTCCTTAAAATCCGCATCCTTGAGAGAATCCTTGCATTTTACATTGTCTAGCACCAGGAGGAGAAAAATAAAACCCCCCTCAAAAGTTGCAAGTTGTGTTGTTTTTTACCCGGGGAGTAAAGTAGAAAACTCCCCCTTGAAATGTGCTTTCTTCGCTGTTTGGCTCTAGGAGGAGTGAAAAAGAAACACTCCCCCTCAGAATAAGCACTTACTTATTGTTTGTGGCGTGTATTGGTGATGGGGTGTGCATGTGTTGATTTTCTGCTCAGTGGGGTAGTATACACGCCAATACTCCCATTGATAATGTGCACCGGTTGATTGCTCAAAGCTCGTCTTCATACCCGCCATGTGTGTGGAGCAATCGAATCAGTTACCACACATGACGGACCTGCAAGGCAACTTAAGTATGTTTCGGCACCCACCTCTAGATGGGTCCTTCCTTGTAACCACATAAAACCTGTTTCAGTTTTGCTTGATTTGTGATCCCAGGCTAGCTGGTTGAGAAGAAATTGACATTATGATTTTCTCAGCTTCAGCCTTAGGAACCCATTGTTGCTTGAACTTTGGAGCAGAAGAAGTTTCACAAGCAATGAGTGAATGTTCACACAGATAATCTTTTAAAATTGTTTCATGAGAGAGTCTTCTCAAATGTCTGAGTGAGTAAACTTTGAGGGGATACTACAAATATGGTAATTGATACTCCCCCTCAACATTTACCTTAGCGGAAGCTGATTTCTTCGGACATTTCTGAACATTCCTCTTCTTATCTTGGTTGGAGGAGACATCAGATTCAGAGCAGCAAGTTTTTACTGGCTTAACACAGTTCAGAGTAGAAGAGTTTGAGCAGTTATTCTTAAGAGATGTCTTCTTTTTGGCATCTAAGAGAGCACTCGAACACCATTTCCTATCCCTCAGACGAGATTCTTCTTCCTTCTTTCTTCTTCTCAACTTCTCCTCTATCCATTCTCCCCTCTTTTCCACTCTCCTCTTCACAGGGTACCTTGTCCGAGAAGGAGACTCAGAGTTAGAGGTATAAGTTTCAGGATCATCAGTTGATTTTTCAAAATACGTCTCAAATGATCGGGGAGAAGGAGATTGAGAACTTGTGCCTGATTTAGAGGATGTCGTTAACAAGGATATTTCATTTAAATGTTGTTCCCTCTCAAGCTCAAACGCCTGTTTTTCTTTATCAAAAGCTTCTTTCAATTCAGCAAACTTTCTCACAAGGGGTGGAACGTATGCTGGTTTGGCTACAGGCTCTGAAGTTGAAGGTTCCTCTTTATCTTGCATAGTCTCTTTTGCAGGGTAAAAGGTTGGAATCTCTTCAATAGGAGTCAACGGGGGCTCTTTTGTTTCATAGCTCTTGTTCAAGGCATCATAATCAAAAGGAATTTGTGTTCCGTGATTAGCTCTCTTGGCATCTTCTTCATCATTTGTTTCTTTAACACTGATGAAAGAAATCAACTTAGTCAATCTAAGACCTATGTAATTGATGTCATAAAGTTGAGCACATTTCACCTTCTTCAAATTACATGGGTTAGTCAGACTGAGTCCTTC